AGGATCTTCATGATCCTACCTGTGAGCGAGTAGAAAATTATTTGCAAAGAGGATAAAGGTATATCTTAATATAAATAGTTTCACTATTGATAATATGTCCCCTTTTAAAATGGCGCATTATTTGATACGTACTTTTTTCTTGTCAGAGCTTGTCTAAAAAAAAAAAATCGGGATGGATGGAGGTTCTCCGTCAGGTTTTTTTCCTGTCGAAACAAGTATGTGCGGCGTTCGCTTTGGATCTGCGGAATGGGTGGGGTTATACATATATAAGCTATAAGAAATTTTAATTTTTTATTCAGTTTCCACTCATACAATTTCGTGATAAGTGCAGAGTGAGAAAAATGTCCGAAGTCGAAAATTATCCAACGCAAGCATTGGATTCGTGGGGAAGATTTGTGGTCAATGCGGAAATAATCCGCGAACAAAAATACATTTACGAGGCAGCAATTACGCTGCCGGAATTCGGACTAGAAATTACCTCAGGTCTTAGCCCAGCAAGAATCTTCGCTCCGGCAGTGAAAGTGAGCTTTATCCCCTACGTTTTGGCGGAGAAAAGAAGCATTTCGTTCGACGAGATAGACTTCACAGAATTAATACAACAGCTTCCATTGTTATTGTTAGTAGGCCCGACTGGTAAAGTTATGTATTTAACCTGCTTCAAACTCAGCTGTCTACAATGTGATGGTGAAGTCTTGGTCAAGATTGAAAATAGCGAGGGTATACTCTATATTTCGAAAGACTGGGTACAGGAATTAATTACCATAAGCAAATTGGTATTTAAAAGAATACGAATACTGTCTCGTTTGAACTTTTACGAGTACTACGATAGAATATTGTATTTGACTATACATGAAAATTTACATGAAGACGCCAAAATCTTTCCGCATATAGAATATTTATGTTCTACAGAAGAGAGTGAGCAGAGCTACTGCATGGAGGACTACATGCGTTTTGGAAAAATGCAGATAAAACAAGATATCAACAAAAGGATAGCATGGGACATACCTGTGTTTTAATAGAAATTTACCTGTAAACTAATAATAATAAATATATTTTTAAAATTCAATGTGTGTGTATGTTTTATCCTTACCCCCATAAAAAAAAGTAAAAAAAAAAACAAGTAATTGCGTAAAATAACTTTATTAAAGAAAAAAAAAAATAACAACAAAATATAACCAAACAAAACATAGTACCACCGGAATGAAACCATCAGAAATTACCCCAACAACGGAGATTCTCGCATATAATTTACCAAAAAAAAATTTGCAGTGCAAAAGTCAAAGTTCAAAGCTGGCGATGCAGTGAGCATAAGTCGCACAAAATCGGTTTTTGACAAAAGCTATGAAATTAATTCTTTCTCCGCCAAAACGTAGGGGATAAAGCTCACTTTCACTGCCGGAGCGAAGATTCTTGCTGGGCTAAGACCTGAGGTAATTTCTAGTCCGAATTCCGGCAGCGTAATTGCTGCCTCGTAAATGTATTTTTGTTCGCGGATTATTTCCGCATTGACCACAAATCTTCCCCACGAATCCAATGCTTGCGTTGGATAATTTTGACTTCGGACATTTTTCTCACTCTGCACTTATCACGAAATTGTATGAGTGGAAACTGAATAAAAAATTAAAATTTCTTATAGCTTATATATGTATAACCCCACCCATTCCCCAGATCCAAAGCGAACGCCGCACATACTTGTTTCGACAGGAAAAAAACCTGACGGAGAACCTCCATCCATCCCGATTTTTTTTTTTAGACAAGCTCTGACAAGAAAAAAGTACGTATCAAATAATGCGCCATTTTAAAAGGGGACATATTATCAATAGTGAAACTATTTATATTAAGATATACCTTTATCCTCTTTGCAAATAATTTTCTACTCGCTCACAGGTAGGATCATGAAGATCCTTCAATATTTTGTTGCACCAGGTATTTAGCTTAGCCTAGAATTCTTTTGAAAAATTATTATTTTTAAAAAAGGCGCGCGCTAGATCAGTTGCCGTTTCAGCGATATTTCCTTGTTTCCCGTGTCTGAGTTTATCTCTTTTCTTTTGTGCATATTCTTGTTTTAATTAAATCTTGATTATCTTTTTATGCCAATTTTGACGATCATCTAATTTTTTGTAACTAAAATTAATTCAATAGAAACAATTAAGGCGAGATGATGCCCGGCAGCTGTTATATTAGGTATGAAAAAGTCAATTTGGATGAAGGAGATGCTTCTTTTGTCCCGACAATGTACAAGAATAAACCTGTCTAACCATAGCAAAATGGGGCCCAAAACTGTGACACTAGGCGAGAGTATGCGTTATTTGGAAGTTAAATTTTAAAAATCCTTTGTAAAATATTCACGGGGAGGGTGTCAAGGCGTCAATTTTTATAAACATCGGAGGTCAGTGTCGGAGAAATAAGGGTTCTTCCCTTTTCTCCTCATCTCTTTTTAACTCCGTTTTGAGTAATTTGTAATAATTTGAGAAAAAAAAATTCAGTACCCGAAAAATGGACACACATTTGCAAGCAAAACAAAAAAAATAGGATACAAAAAAAAAACTATAAAATATAGGCGCCAATGCAGGCAATAGTTTAAATACGGGAAGTTACATTTTTAAACATAAATTCAGATTTTCGGTGGCCAATATAACTCTATTTTTCGTGTTTGTTAAGATTTATATACATAATATCAAACCAGGCTTTGGAAACGTCTGGTTAAGGCCACAGTCCATAAGCTTCTAAATAAACGCGAGATATCATGAAAACCGAAAAAGTTTGAATGGAATCTAACGTTTCCTTTTGTTTCTCAAAAATAGTAATTAAGCGGAAAAGTACTCGTAGTATATTGATTAATTGTAGGAATGTCTCATTTTCTACAAAACAACTTAAGTTAAATAAAATGCAAATTAAATTATTATAAATTACCGCTTTGTTGTATTCGCTATTTACTATGCCCCAACCTACGACGACACTGGAGGGTAGCTTAAAATTTGACCTGCTTGGTTTACCTGCCTTTCGTAGGAATGCGGGTTGTTTCACGTGTCAGTCGAAGTTTAAAGAAGCGTTTGTGTTAAGGGTTCGTTTCTGTTATACGCGTTTGTTGCTTAATGCAATATCGCCAACGAGTTTAAGTTTTGTGTTCAATGTGTGTTTCATATACGGATAAATAAAACAAAAAAGACTGGAAAAAGATAGGTAAGAAGCTTTCGGAATTGCGACTTTAATGAGTAACCGCGTAACATTTTGACCTAGTATTATGTATATGTTCGACGAGGTTTCTATACTTAATTAAAAAAAATTGGGGAGTGATCAAAGGAGGCTGAGGTCGGAGATACGGATCTTGTTTAGTATCAATTTTTGTTTAATAAAACAACCAAAAATGCTCGCTTACGTTTTTGAAGTAGGTAAAAAGGAAACAGAATTTTAATAGAAATAACGCACGATATATCTCCCAAAAAATTCAGCCATATGAACAACGCGAAGAAGTTAAGCAGATAAAATTTTACAAGATTTTTGGGGGGCCAAGTGTAAATTCGGATTGTGGAAAGTAACAGATAGAGAGAATGAGTGACCTATATAGAAAAAGAGAGACAGAAAGGTAGATTTATTTAAACGTTTCTCAATCATCCACCCATCGGAGATAATAAATAACATTCGCTAGTTTTTTTTGCATGTATTGAGTTAAGTTCGGAATAGAAATATGTCAATAGTAACAATTTAAATATGGTAATTTTTGGGGATTGTTATACGTCCGCCAGCGTATTAAAAATATGGTTTTAGGGGTTAGAACTTTTAAGTTTCAAGAAAAAAAAACTCATGTTGAAATTTTTGTATTCGGAAGCTTCTGTTGTTTATTAATTTATAGACACTGGAAAATATAATAATAAAACATCCTACAGTTGACATACGCGTCCTCTTAAACTCGAAAAGAGCTAATTTATCTTAGAAGAGTACGTATTTTTGGTAAAATAGATATTTTTTATATTAAATATTTGACCGATCAATGTAATTCGTCAAGCAGAAACCGAGAAGAAAAGTGACGCTTGTGGTGTTTGCTGACAATCCGACCCTGCTTCGTGTACAAATGCAATGACATTTCGGCAGGGCTATAGGCTACGAAACCTTTCAAACTCGAAAAGGACGAACTGTTTTAAAGAAAAAAGGTACTTCATTTTTGGTAAAAGTAATAGATAATTTTTTTTTCGCTAAATATTCCACAGATCGATGTAACTCGTCAAGCAGAATCCGAGAAGAAAAGTGACCGGGGGTGCTGTTTGCTTACAATCCGACCCTGCTTCGTGTACAAATGCAATGCCATTTCGGCAGGGCTATAGGCTACGAAACCTTTCGAACTCGAAAAGGCGCTACTAATTTTGAATAGGTACTTAATATTGGGTAAAAGTAATAGATAAGATTGTTTTACATTAAATATTTGACAGATCGATGTAACTCGTCAAGCGGAATCCGAGAAGAAAAATGACGGATGTGCGGTTTGCTGATAGTCCAGAACGGCTTCGTGTACAAATGCATGGCGGGGAGACCAGAAAGTTTTCGAAACTGCGTGAGTGGAAGTCTGCGTTGGACAAATTTTGAAAATATCTGAAGGTTTAACGAATTTTGGAGAATTCGACAGAGCTACAGACTACGAAACCTTTCGAAACGAACACACGTGTCCTGTTGAACTTGAAAAAAACGAAATTATTTTTAAAAAGGTATATTGTTGCTAAATAATAGATTTTTTTTAATTAAAATATTTGACAGATCATGGTAACTCGTGAAGCAACATCTCAGAATTGAATCGGGGAACGAGGAATCAAAAAAAGGTTAACAATTTGGATCATTTTGGAAGATACATACGCCGCGCTTTTCAAAGCGGACAGACGTGCCCTTGTCCAACTGAAACGAACACACGTGTCCTGTTGAACTTGAAAAAAGACGAAATTATTTTTAAAAAGGTATATTGTTGCTAAATAAAAGATTTTTTTTTAATTGAAATATTTGACAGATCATGGTAACTCGTGAAGCAACATCTCAGAATTGAATCGGCGAGTTGTGTATTTGCTGGCAATCCGAGCCTGCTTGGATCATTTTGGAAGATACATACCCCTGCGCTTTTCAAAGCGGACAGACGTGCCCGTGTCCAACTTGACAAAGGCGGAATTATTTTAGGAAAGGTATATTATTTGTAAAAAAAAATATACAATTTTTAAGTAACATATTTGACAGACCATGGCAACTAGTAAAGCAGAATCCGAGAATTCAATCGGTGGCTGTATGTTGACTGACAAGAATATAATTGCTGTTAATCCAGCCCTGCTTCTTGTACAAATGCATAGTGGGGAGACATGAACATTTTTCGAAATTGCGGCCCTATCCTCTTGGGATTCTACGTTGGACAAATTCTGAAAACGACCCAGAAATATAATTGGTGAGGAAATAGTTTTTTTTGTTGTGTTAACAGTTAACAATTTTTTATTTTGGAAATAAGGGGTTTCAATGTGTACTGGTATTAGTGAATCAATTTAATGACCTCAGCATCTCTAAACCCCCATCTTGAGACGCGTTAACGATCCGGATCGAGTTACGTCGCGTAATTGTGTCACTTTTTTAATTAAAAAATGAAAGAGATGTACCTACCATACTTTAGAAACCCCTACTCCCCTTTGGAGGTGATGAAATAAGTTTTGGCATAAAATATAAGTTCCTCGTATTACTTTGATATGATAAGTATAAGTCTGCCTGTTTTTTTTTAAAGGAGGTTCAAACCCGTGCGAGGTGAGGTTTGATATATGAAACAGACCAGTCATGGGGACACGAGATATGCAAAGTTTCAGCGTAGTCGTCGCCACATTGCTGCCAACACTGCATATATAAGGAATCACGAACCATTCAGGTAAAATTTTGAAAACACATATTTATGGCAATATAGAACCTCTCTTTTTTTTAACAGGAATATTGAGACTTAGACCAGTATCTTTTTAAGTAGGCATGTGGGGTAAAGAAGACGCAGAAGCTTCAGTCGGGTACCATCGGTAACGTAGGCGATTAATATATTTCCACCACTACATATGTTGGATTGGAATTTCCCATTTGATGCTTTGACTGACTAAATGAGGAAACTTGGAGGTAAGCTCTTACGGAATTCTATCGAAATATGTTTAGTAACATATTGGTGCATTACTCTGTCTTCCAGTCAGTTTCACATAAACTTTGCACGTATTATAGAAATGCCACCTACTTTTTTTGTGTTAATATTATTGAAAGTAGTAGCTGGTAGCTGTAGTCGTAAGCCCAGAGAGTCTCTGTTTTGAACATAATACACAAAATGGGGCGTTCAAAAACAATAGACTGCATGCCTTTTAGAGTCGGCGTAAACTATGGTCATATACCCCTGATCAAATTCAGAACTAGAAAATCGTTGTGTCTCTGCATTAAAAATAATAGTAAAATTTATTGTAGGCACCAAGTAGAGTATCGAAAATTTCCATTTTTAGTGCCAAATTGGTTACTCCAGTAAATTCCAACTGTTCTAATTTTTTTAAAATAATTTATGATGTTAGTGAGTTTCATTGCAATTATTTGTTACTTAAACTTTCTGCGTATTAAACCTTAATTAACAATACGCTATTCGTTAACGCAGGTAGAATTAATGACGCTGACTAACCTGATTTTGTCCAGGGGGGCGTAGTACGGTAGCTTGTACTGTGATGTTTGGTAGTTTGGCGGTGAGCTCTCATTTATAAAACTGGGGAATGTTTCGTTATCTTCAAATCGTAAACACGTATCATTAGAATTATATTTTTAAAATATTGATTAGGACACGTACTAAGTAACTAAATGCTCTAGCAAAAATATTCACACATATTGCGTAAAACGTACAAATTTAAATTAGAGAAAATTAACTATTTTTAGAGGTTGGTTTTTCAAAAAGGCGGGGATTTAGTTAAAGAACAGATAGAGACTAAAGGGAAGCTCTATGAGAAAAGTTAGAATTAAAAAATCGATGTTTTCGTGTCATAGCGAAAGATGGATTATTATTAAAAATAATACTTGCATTAATTGTTGTCACCATTTGTGAAAAATATGGAAAATATCCTCTAGGTTCGCATACCTTTTTTATTTTTTTTAAGGTGGCTAACAAAATACACAGACAGAAAAGTTTAGATCCTGTTCGTTAATGTAGCGCATAGAAAAAAATTAGAAAGAGAACGTTTCGTGTATGGCATTCGTAGTTAGTACGGAATATTAATCTAAAGGCTGCAAGACAGTGAAAGAGTGATGCGCTTAAGTGTGGTTCAGAGAGGTTATTTGGGCTGTAGAAGTTTTTCTTTGAACAGGGTTCAAATAGCGTCTCCTAGAGCGTTAGCAGAGAAGAGTATTACAGTATTTAGTATAAGCGTCCAGATTTCATTGTTGTTGAAATTGCCATAGAAACACACTTTCATGTAGTAGTAGCAGCAGCTTTAAAGTATATGACTTTTTAGTTAAGATGCCTTTCGAGTTTGCTTTATGGCTTGATAGGAAATTAAAGGGTAGATACAGATAAGTTACGAAAAAAAAAAGTATGTACACTATCCTCAAAGATCAGCAATAAATAAAAGAAATTGATGAAATAGTAAAGTTGACTGCGATATCTTAAAATCATCAATAAGATAGATAAATTAATTTTGAAAATATTAAATAATAAAAACAAATAATAAAATAGCAAAGATAATCAAAATTATCAATAAGATAGATAAATTAATTTTGTAAATATTAAATAATAAAAATAAAATTATAATAGCAAAGAAAGCCTACCACGGCCACATACACATAATATTTTCGACATATGAACTTTTCCCAGATAAATAGTCAAATATCTCACGATACCTTAAAACAGAAGCATGCGGAAATATGTATGAAGTTAACGCACGGTAGATGGCTTAGTAAATTAATAATGTATATGGTTTCTAATATCCTACTTTATTAATGAAAATTTTAACCAGGTTTTTGTTTTGCAGATATTATTGGTGGTGCCTGCCAGCTTCCAGTTCCGAGAAAAGAAATCCAATACTTTTCGTCTTTATTTCCCCTGTCCTTTGTGCGCAATAAAAGTACAGTTTGTACCCGCGAGGGTACACATTCGCAGAATTATATGTTTTTAAAATAAATGTTTTGGTCAATATTCACTAGGTGGGGTTACCTTATTAAAGAAAATCTTATTCCAAGAGGGGACACTAGTTTACATTCGAACCGCTAGAGGGTGCAGATGGTCACGCGAACAATATGATCAAGTCTCATTGACGCCATTGCTTTTCATACGGGTGGGAAAATATCTGGGCTCTGATTGGCTTCGCCGCCATCGCAAACTAGAGGTGGGGAGATTGATTTAACCGCATTTCTGGTTGCTTATCCAATGGGGGCCAGTTTCAAGGGATTATGGGTAAAGGGGGAGGAGCTAAAGAGTCGTGGGAAAGGAGGACACGCCCACAAAAGGGAGAGGAGTGGGGGAAGCCTCTATTATACATATCTCTACTAGCGGTGTTAAATCACAAGATCTTGGAGGCCAATTCACAGGTCCAAAACGTGAAATTAGGCGGTCAACAAACGTGTCTTTCAATAAATCGATTGTGGCACGAGGTGTGTGACATGTTGCGCCGTCTTGTTGAAACCACATCTCTTCGACATCATGGTTATTCAATTCAGGGATGAATGAGTTAGTAATCATAGCTCTATACCAATGATTCCACCAGCCCATAAAGCGCACCAAACAGTCAGTTTTTGTGGATGTAACGGTGTTTAGACATACACTTGAGGATTAGCTTCGCTCCAAATGCGGCAGTTTTGTTTGTGCGAGAATAAATCACTTGACAGCTGTCAAATCGGTCACCATCTTGAACAGTTATGCCAACTTAAAGTTCTATACATCGGAAAAAAACAACCATTACATATGTTGTGGATGTAGGGTAAACTTGCCCAAATCGTACCAGTTTTGAACAACTTGTTGTAGATTTCTCAAAAATGCATCAAACACTATGAAATTTTGGTTGTTAAAACTTTAATAGAATAAACATTAGACATGTGTTAATACTTAAAGAAACCCTGTTTTACTACTCAAAATAAAATATTTAAAAAATAATGAAAAAAGTACGATTTAAGACCATATGTCTTAACTCGTACCGCACTATTCCTAAATCGTACTTCTGATGCAATGTTGGCAAGTGTAAGAATATGTGACTTTTCCTACACCTGCACAGTTGTCGTGCACCCATATGTTGCATTTGATGCATTGAATCATTGATTTTTCTTCATCTTTGCGGCATAAAATGCAATACCAAGTATTAGAATTCTTTTCTATTAAAGAGCGTTTCTTTGGTTTTGTTGGTCCATCTAATTTATTTTCTAACATATTTTTATATGGACTCTCAGTAAGGACTACGGCCTTGCTTGTTTTCTTAGATGTTTGCGGTGGAAGTCGATATATTGGTGACAAATTCTCAATAACCGTGCGGATGGATGCGTCAGTTTGATCGTGTGCATTTGTAGAAACATTCGCTGTGGAAGGACCAGGATCCGAAAGTTGCATATCAGTTTGGGTCATTTCATTTTCATCGAGCACGACATATTTTTCATCTGGTATTCGATGCCTGTTGCAAGGCCACAATCCACAAGTTTCAAAACCTTTCATAGCGATGTCCATACAAACCGATCTAGGATATGCCACTCCCAAAATTTCAGATATGTTTCACCAGGGTGATTTCTTATCCAAACTGCACATTCTTTGTTAAAATTAGTTTGTAATGACTTAAAGAATGATCTATCCAAAGGCTGTAGTTTGTGTGTTGTGTGCGCCGGCAAAGAAAACATTACGATACCGTATTCTCTAGCAAGGTTTATGGCTTCTAGATTCTTAGTATGTGTGGTATGTCCATCCAATATTAATAGAATTTTATGATTCAATTGTTTTTCCAATTTTAAATGATTTATGAAATGTTGTAACCATTCGACAAAGATTGAAGCGACAATCCACCCACTCTCAGAACAAGTGTACAGCGTTTTAGGCGGGCCACCACGTTTAAGGATATCCGTCATTCTTTTGCGTTTGAAGATGAACATTGGAGGAATAAAGTCTCCACTAGCATTCATGCAACAAACGCATGTAGTGTTAATTCCACGTTCTCCGCTAGTGACTGCTCCGACTTGATGTTTTCCTTTTAACGCTAATATTTTAGCAGGCTTATGAACGGTATTAAGACCTGTCTCATCCATGTTAAAAATTTCGTTAGGTCCAAATTGGAAATCTTCTAGAATCTTTTCGTATTTGTCGAAAAATTCTGATACAATGTTTTTGTTAAATCCTTTACATCGTGCCATTGATGTTGGTTCAGGCATTCTTAAGGCAATTTCTGGGTGGTTTTTCATAAATTTGTAATACCATTTCCAACCGGCTAACTCTTGCACCTTATTAAATCGGTGCGGAAGTTTGTATTTTTCTGCCAACTGAAATGCTAGATGTCTTAAATCTGTGATAGTTAACCCAAAGAATCTAGACTCCAAATCCAAAATGTGATGAACCAATTCGGTCTCCATTTGCTCCGTCAAATCGCTTGGTTTTCCTATTTTTTTCTGAGAAATTAGACCTTTTAAATGACGTCGAAAGGTCGGTTTTGGAATACCATATGTCCTGCATACTTCATTAAACAGAAATTGATTGGTTAAAACCAAAATGAAAACAATTTCATTTCGTATTCCTAATTTGTACCGGTACGAATTAGGATGTATAATAAAGTACGATTTACGCTCAAAGTCCTCTTCAAAATACACTTAACGCTTTTAGGTTATGAGAAAACGCTGCGCGCTAATTCTACCACCAAATGAATTGTAAAGAAATGCAATTTTTGAAAACCGTATGATTCACAATATTATGTTTATAGAATTCTTAAAAAACGCTTACAAAAAACGCTAAAATTTTACAAGAAAACTGAAAAAAACTTACTTTTATCAGTAAAATTACATCTCGCACAGGAATCACTGCTTCGGAGCACCACAGCTGGTTAGCTTAGCACCAACTCAAGTAATCACCGACAGATGCCGCTGTATGTTTTATAAATTCTGAGTAATTTAGGTGGTACGATTTACGCGCAAGTACGATTTAGGCAAGTTTACCCTAACGGTGCTTTGACATACACTTGAGGATTAGCTTCGCTTCAAATGCGGCAGTTTTGTTTGTGCGAGAATAAATCACTTGACAGCTGTTAAATCGGTCGCCATCTTGAACAGTTATGCCAACTTAAAGTTCTATACATTGGTAAAAAACACCCATTACATATGTTTAGAAACATATCTGTGTTTGAATCATTAAATAATATAACCAAGAGAATTGTATCGAATTTTTTTCACTTTGTCACTACGATGACCATTAATTTTGAAAGTATGATCTAAAAATAAATTAGGCAAATCACTTTTTAAGACGAAAGCTAAGTTGGATGAAAATATAAAATCGCGCAATATAGTAATTGATTTTATTTCTAGGAGATGGAATAGATTTTCGTTGTGGAGGTACCCTAATAAATGCCAGATATATACTCACCGCAGCACATTGTATTATAAATACTATGTCTATGTAAGTAGCTGACTTGTAATTATTTAGGTGCTGGCGTCTCTATTAACACTAGGCACTAAAGTAGTAATAGCTATAATTGAAATCGACTATATGAATAAGTAACTTCAAATTCAGACGTGCTATTTTTATAAAATTTGAATAAATTTAAGACTTAAACAAGTTAAAAGAATTAAAGTTTTCACTTAAAGCTGAACGTGAATATATTTAATTACCAAAATTTCGGTCGGAGAGAGATCATGGTCACCCCGATCAGGAGTTTCGAATATTTTTCGACTGGCGATGTTTTTTTTTATAATCGACTATTATAAGAATTTAGTTTCTTATTGTTAACAAATTCATCAACAAGATTTTGGGGACCCATGCTTCCATGTTGAAATAAGACCTGTTTTCCCACTAATTTGTTATAGGTTTTTGAGGTATTTGGTTCAAAATTAAAGCGTTTTTGAATGCACATTTTCCTTTTTCTTCGCATTTCAATTCTAATACAGAAAGCCAATTTTCAATTTTGTTTACAAACTTTTTATTCCGTTGTAATTTATTTGCATCTGCAATACTTACTCACTCATGGTCTTCACTTACTAATTAAAACTTTTGACGAAACAATGGAAAATGTAATCGTTACTAAGGCGAACCATAATACTCTATGGATCGGCAACGAAGCGTTTGTTGAGTCTTTCTTCCATGTTGAAAATGTTTCCCTGAAATCTTGACTACAATTTTGAAACACTCCTTATTGTTTTTTCAACATTTTAAACACTGTACTTATTTATATCTTTTGACTGGAAAGTTAATCATTTCTCATGTTGCTTAAAGTTAATATCGGTACTTAAATATATGATGTAATGGATTCATTATTTCCTAATTGCAAATGCAAAAAAAGTTTCAAAGTAGATAGGTTTTAATATCCGAGCTAAATAAATAATTGGAAATGGTGTAATAACTACGTGGTATTTATAATTAGTCGAGTGTTTATTTTAATTGTTTTAGAATTGGAGTTAGGCTAGGAGAATACGATTTACGAAACACGGAGGACTGCGAAGAAGGATACTGCGCTCCAAAAGTGCAAGATTTCCGAGCGGAAAAGATGATGATTCATCCAAACTATAACAAACGGACATACAAAAATGATATAGCGTTGATAAGGTTAGACTATAATGCAAATTTTAGTTATTGTAAGTAGTATTGAATAATTAGTATATAGCTCCGACCCTTTTCTTGTAATGAATTTATAATAGGCCAATAATAAAATGAAAACCAATTTTCACAAATATACAGATTTTATCAGCGTTGCAGATTTTTATCGTCAAAATTTTTAACTAGTTTAGTATTACGTCTAGTAATGTGCAAATGATTTCAGCCAATATTAAACCGATATGTCTTCCGGTGAGCGAAATTAATGACGACCTAACGGGAAAATCGGCTATCGTCTCCGGATGGGGTGCTACGGAAAAAGGTACAGTTACATGTTCTAGCAAAATTTTCTTTAAATTTCAAAATTACAAATATTCCTAATAGTTGCTAAATCAGTGTAACAGCTGTTGATCAACTCTTTCCATAGCGACAACAAGGGTAATTGAAAAAATCAAAACTCAAGACCTAAATTTTTTGCGAAAAAGTAGTATTTTTATTTAAGTTAACGAAAATTATTTCGCATTTTCATGGAAATGTTCGGGTGACTTTTTATTTAGGAAGGCTTTCCGTTACATAAAATTTCTGCAGTTTGAAACATCCAGTTTAAACTAATTTTAATTCTATCATTTTTTATTGTATTCCATATTTATTATATGTAGCGACATTGTGATGAGCGGAAATGATTTTAGATTACAAAAGCCCAATACTTCTCAAAGTATCAGTACCCGTGTTGTCACTGTCTGTTTGCCATAAAGTGTACCAACAGTTTGCTCCAATTACGGATCAGCAAATATGTGCCGGTGGATACAATGGTAGAGACTCATGTGGAGGAGACAGCGGTGGACCGATGAAGTATGTCGGACTTGTTGACGGCTCGCCTAGATACATACAGTACGGAATTTTATCATTTGGCCCGAGACAATGCGGTGCCGATGGGCAACCGGGTATTTACACCAGGGTTGGGAGTTATATCCAATGGATTTTGGACAACATGGAAGAATGATTGTCGTTTTCATATTAGTACGTTAATGAAATGTTAAAAAGAAATATTTTCACTTTGGATCCCAAATTCTCAAGATTTGTCAGACATTTTCGTAATGATTGAACTTCGTAAATGCGTGTTATGATTTCAAAAAGATAACTTCGTTAAAATGCCGCCTCCAAACTTCTTCTGTCAGCAGCCTGGTTGGTTGTTAAATGCCGCATTAATTTAATTCGAGATTTTGATTATCGTGCACCTGCATGTCGTTTTCAAAACTTTTTAATCATATTCTGAGCATAGACAATACCTCTGCGCCATGCATTTCATTGGACACGTGCAGCAGCTTGAAAAGTTGTGAATCGAACCTAAATTTGAATTAACATTGCGAAACGCCTTATGGCGAGATGCGTTAAAATTCCTGCGGAATCGAGAATGTGGTTTGGACCTTTAAATTCCTATATGTTGTTTTGCTACCGAGTCTAGTCTAGACGATTATTGATGCGTAGAAATGGTGAGCCCTTTTTTTTTAATTTCGTAAGGATTTCTCAAGGAAATCCGTTTATTTGCAGCCCACGATTTGTTTACCGCTCCTGGAAGTTTCAACTTACATGAAAAGGTAATCCATCAACATCTAGTTCTTTCAACCATGTCGCAACCATAATCTAGAAAATGGAACAGTTGGACAGAGCGTTCCTCAATTCAGAATTGGACTATTTAGAATTTTTTGCAACAAAAATATCAAGTAGTAAGGAAAATAGATCAACGATTGTTTAGCAAGATTGTGACAAATAAACATTTCAAAATATGTGTACTGGGTTATTCATTATATTTTGACGCCTACCTACAGGGTTAATTTTAAAAGATAGAAAAAATGTATAAATACAAAAGTTTTAAGTAAGATTTTTGCTCTATTATCTGATGCAAATGTAAGAAAAAACAAACGACAATCGCAACCTGTCAAAATGACAGCAACATCTTTTTTTTAATCGAATGCCTTATATATTATTAGCTTAAGTCGTAGATAATTTAGCCGTTTTTGAGATATTTCTGTCATTCGATTTCTGGACAATAGCCATATTGCCTAAAATGGTCAAGTCTGCCTTGATAGTAACCATATTCTCTATGATTGTAATTGTTTTAATAATGTTCTACTTTTGACAACTAATCAAAACTAAAGATCTACAGCGTTAGTTAAATAACTTAAGATTTTTCAAATGGGTTATACTGAGGAAGGAAGACGGTAAAGAATAAAATTATATTATTCAACCGGAGATAATGTTGTAAGGGTTAAAAGAGATTTTTTTTAAATTAAAAATGTAATTAAACAATTTGAAGACCGAAATAGTCTCACACGGAAGATCAGGACAATTGAACGAAATTTTGATAAAGACCACAATATATTGCTTTACTTTAATTAATTAATAATTAATTTTTATTCTCTTGAAGTTTGCTAAGTTTCAGTTTTACGTATCACTAGATATCACGTGAAACAAGATTTGACAAGACACCACCTACCTAAAACTTAAATACATAAATATAACCAAATAAATGAAGCATATGTGGGGGGAAGGGAACTACGTGTAGGGATTACTTAGTGCGGAATAATAATAATAAATCGCATCGAATATAACGCTGAGTGTGATAAGACATACCCCAATACCCTTGGAATTTAAAATACTTTCAATGCAGGGAAATGCCAAGGATCGCATAGCATTGAATGCACAGTAAATAATTGAGGATTTAATTGCTTTCCTTACAGGTAAACAGCATATAGGTACCCGTGGCCAATTAAGTAAGGCAAAGTACCCTAGCTCGAAAAGTAATGTAAAGATTTGGATAGGAAAAATATTATTTTTATTATTACAGTCCTCTTAATAGAATTTGGTGCGGAGTATCCGAACATTTTCGGAAAAAAGTGTCAATAACTTCATAATGCCTCAACACTTGTTGTTAAATTTGGTTTGTTGTTAGATTTTGATGATTGATTGGTTCGTGATTATTCAGTAATACCCGCTAAACGATACGATGAGTTAAACATCAATCGCAGCGAACAATGCCTTTAGTCAACGGGTGATTTTGTGTGGTTGTGTTGAAATGTGACTAATTTTGGATTACGTGTTTGTTATCTAACAAGATTTTCACAAATCTGGCGCTATATTTCCTAAATTGAATGTGGGAAGTAAAAAAAGGCTCTTTCAGGTTATCAACGCTTCCCGAACGGATTGATTTGGATTTATAAATACCTCGATATAACTTTTACTGCAATGAAATCTTGGAATTTGGTTTAAAGTTTCACTGTTCACAGTTTCCACTGTACCCAATTTACTTAATAACACTAAATAATTATAAGTTAAATATATATTTAAGTACACCAACAATACAAAATTGTCTCTTAATCTTTACAAATATACCTGTTGGCTCCATTTTTCACAACTCCAAAAAAAAAACTAATTATGCACATCGGCTTCATTGACGCTATCGCGAGCTTATTCGAACGTTTTTAGTATTTTAGTCACGAATATGGTCGCTAGATATTTAAAATGCAGCTGGTATTTTGACATTGAAGTTCTGATGGATCTGTGTATGTTATGTACGATAGCAGAAGTATACTATGTAACACGTTTATAAACTCGTTGCGCTCGTTGGGAAAAATATATATTTAAGACTTGTAGCATAAAATACAATTTTATATTGTAATTTTTTCTATTGAGTTTAGTTTTATTAAAATCCATTTGAAAACTATTACGCAGTGCTAAACATTTTTTTAAATAACATTACGTAGGTAACTGCTTGCTAATCGGCAAATAAAACGGGAAATTGTAACACCATTTAAGTAAAGAAACGTTATAACGACCAACTTCCATTTGAATATATTTGCTAACTCAACGGTCAGGGCTGTAAAACCTAAATCTATAATTCTCAGTAATAGAGTGCGCCGAAATAAATTCAAATGGGGCTGTAATTACCTTAAATTAGCTTTCTCGACGGATGGTTCCATTAGTAATCGAATTGGTAAATCAGTTTATGAAATATCATCGGCCCAACAGGTTGTTCGTTGAAATGTTCAAATTGTTGTGTTTTTCTGTGATCTTCGAAATTTCCGTCGGATACACAATAAGTAAGTGAATAGTTGCAGTACTGTTTAATTTATATCAATTTCATTGTCTCGTTCGGTTTAGCTTATTTAAATGTTTGGTTTCCTTTTCGAATATATCGGGTGTCGAGAATATTATTTTCCACTTCCGGTCAAGCTCACCATTTTAAATGCAGTCTTGCATGTTGCATGTTGCACATGTTGCACATTTATAATCAATATGACGACACTATTGGCAATTTTCAAATAAATCGAGTTATCTGGGCGGATCCACAAAACATAAGTATATCGCCACAACTAACTAAACGGATTTCAATATTTTTAAAAAACGTACAACATTAACTTCAGCGTTGATATCAGTGGTCATTCGATTGTTCATTGTCTCATTTTCTATAGCCTTCAGGGATGAAATATCGTGCCAGATGCCTATGGGCGATAAATGCGTCGGAATTCGGGAATGTCCATTTTTTTCCGAATTGCTAGACAGAACTCCGATCCCGCGGCCTAGGAGCGTCGCGAAAATTTTGCGAGACCACCAGTGTGGATTTGAATATAAGAATAATAAGATTAAACCAAAAGTTTGTTGTGTCACGTATGTATCATGCTGCTTTTCATAGTTACAATTTATTTGTTGTTTCGCTTTTCCCATTTGTATTTTATTAATTTTAGAAACACTGCTCCTGCGCCGCCAACCACTGAATCGTCTTCTCAGCTGGCGGAGAAAATTCCTCTAGCATTCGCTAGATTTAGAAGTCACAAGAATTTTCACCTCTTACCATTAAATGTATGCGGTTCCATCGCAACGAATTCCAGGATTACCTCTGGAAAGCAAACAGGATTGGAAGAATTTCCATGGATGGCCCTCATAGCATACAACACAGGTACGCTTAAAGATTTTTTTATAGAAAATTTAAATATCTACTGATTAATTTTATATTACATTACACATTTACATTTTACAACCGCCGCTATTTGGTATTATATAACCCATGCTAATTTAAAAAAAAAAACCTTAGAAATTGCTGCGTTATGTTTTTTTCTATTATAAGTAAGGGGTGTTTTTTTTGGATGTATAGAACTTTAAGTTGCAATAAAACAACGATGGATTATTCGATTGACATGAATTTTATTTATCCGAAAGGTAATCTTGTGGCATTACATTTTAAATATGGTTTCTGGCATACGATTGCCACGGCTGGCGCGGATGTAGTCCAATCGAGACATCCAATTTTCGATTAATTTTTCCAACATTTGTTACCGTATATCGGCAATAACACGGCGAATGTCTTGCAAATGGTCAAGCGTTTGTGGCTTATCCGCATAGACCAATGACTTTACATAGCACCACAGAAAGTTCTTGGAGGCCAATTCACAGGTCCAAAACGTGAAATTAGGCGGTCAACAAACGTGTCTTTCAATAAATCGATTGTGGCACGAGGTGTGTGACATGTTGCGCCGTCTTGTTGAAACCACATCTCTTCGACATCATGGTTATTCAATTCAGGGATGAATGAGTTAGTAATCATAGCTCTATACCAATGATTCCACCAGCCCATAAAGCGCACCAAACTGTCAGTTTTTGTGGATGTAGGGTAAACTTGCCCAAATCGTACCAGTTTTGAACAACTTGTTGTAGATTTCTCAAAAATGCATCAAACACTATGAAATTTTGGTTGTTAAAACTTTAATAGAATAAACATTAGACATGTGTTAATACTTAAAGAAACCCTGTTTTACTACTCAAAATAAAATATTTAAAAAATAATGAAAAAAGTACGATTTAAGACCATATGTCTTAACTCGTACCGCACTATTCCTAAATCGTACTTCTGATGCAATGTTGGCAAGTGTAAGAATATGTGGCTTTTCCTACACCTGCACAGTTGTCGTGCACCCATATGTTGCATTTGATGCATTGAATCATTGATTTTTCTTCATCTTTGCGGCATAAAATGCAATACCAAGTATTAGAATTCTTTTCTATTAAAGAGCGTTTCTTTGGTTTTGTTGGTCCATCTAATTTATTTTCTAACATATTTTTATATGGACTCTCAGTACGGACTACGGCCTTGCTTGTTTTCTTAGATGTTTGCGGTGGAAGTCGATATATTGGTGACAAATTCTCAATAACCGTGCGGATGGATGCGTCAGTTTGATCGTGTGCATTTGAAGAAACATTCGCTGTGGAAGGACCAGGATCCGAAAGTTGCATATCAGTTTGGGTCATTTCATTTTCATCGAGCACGACATATTTTTCATCTGGTATTCGATGCCTGTTGCAAGGCCACAATCCACAAGTTTCAAAACCTTTCATAGCGATGTCCATACAAACCGATCTAGGATATGCCACTCCCAAAATTTCAGATATGTTTCACCAGGGTGATTTCTTATCCAAACTGCACATTCTTTGTTAAAATTAGTTTTTAATGACTTAAAGAATGATCTATCCAAAGGCTGTAGTTTGTGTGTTGTGTGCGCCGGCAAAGAAAACATTACGATACCGTATTCTCTAGCAAGGTTTATGGCTTCTAGATTCTTAGTATGTGTGGTATGTCCATCCAATATTAATAGAATTTTATGATTCAATTGTTTTTCCAATTTTAAATGATTTATGAAATGTTGTAACCATTCGACAAAGATTGAAGCGACAATCCACCCACTCTCAGAACAAGTGTACAGCGTTTT